TGTGTGTGTGGCCAGCTCAGCCCACCAGGGGGCGGGGCTGGCTGGCATGTGGTGCTGGGGGATTGAACCGCGGTCCCTGTGCTTTGTTTAGCTTAGTTTGATTCTAAGTAGGTGCCTTAGACCACTGAGCCATCTCACCAACCCCTTATTTTTTACTTTTTAAGAGAGTCTTCTTATGTAGTTCAGGCTGGACTTCAAGTTACTATGTAGCCCACGCTGGCCTCGCAGTGATCTTCTTGTCTCCGTGCTGGCATTACAGGCCTGCATCACCAAACCTGGCTCTTGAATCTTTTTCTGACTCCAGTGCCTATGCATTTAATCAATACGTGTGTTTTGGAGAAACTCACAAAGAGAGATCTGAATTGGGTTTCAAAGATACTACATTATGTGCAGGCAGAAAACGTGAAGCTATAAACCCATTTTCTACTGTGAAAAGCACACACTGAGACTGCAGTTAGTACTGTAGAGGCCCAGTATGGACAATGCCTATAATCCCAGCACTCAGGAGGCTGAGGCAGGAGGATCACTGCCAGTTCAAAGCCAGCCTTGGCTACATAGTGAACTCAAAGCTTGAACTGCACAGGGAGACACTATCTTTAAAAGAGAGAGAGAAAAAAAAGCACTGTATAGGCGATCAGCACAGTCAGAAGTAATCTAACCCCTGGAGCAGTTAGAGGGCAGGAACTGGAAAGGTCAGCACAGTAGAAAACGTTGCCAACATCTCAAAATTCCTTGGCCAGCCCCTGTAAGTGCCAAGCTAGGAGCCCAAAAGAGGTAGAGGTGCCAGGAGAGCGTAGCTTGCTTTCCTGCGCCAGGCCCTGCCAGGAAAGTCAGGTGGTTTTGTTCCTGAGAAACTGGGTTGAGGGGAGCAACAAGGTAAAAAGAGGAAGCAGACATGGGCCAACTGCATCCCACTCCGAGCGGGGCTCCAGCGCCTGGGACTCTAAGTCTAGAGATGTCTCTCCTTTGGGGCCAGTCTCAGGCACCCTTCTGAGTTGTCCTCGGTTCCGGGCCGGGGAGATGGCTCAGTAGAATAAGCGCTTCCCTGGCAAGCACAAAGGCCCAAGTTCAATTCCTGGCTCTGCAAAAAAAAAAAAAAAAAAGCCCTAGCTGAGTTGTCAGTTGTCCTCGGTTCCTGCTCTTCCTTAAGAGCAAGGACTGAACGGACCTCCCCTGCACCGAGGATGGAGGGTTTTTTCGCAGGGTCTTCTATCTTTAGACTCGGGGCGGTGGCCTAGTTCAACAATGCCCCTCCTTCGCACAGTCCAGCTCCTCGTGCTCCCAAAAGGCAACTCCATGGAAACCAGACCATCACTACTCCACCAAAGTATCGCGAGAAGCGAGATTGCGCCCGGAGGGGCGGAGCAAGGGCGGGGTCGCGTAGTGAAGTGGGAGGGACCCGAGCGCTTCCGAGGTCTGGGTCTGGAGACTGTCTTGCTTCAGGCAGCGCCCCCGCGTGACTGCGCTTTACATAATCACCGCCTTGTGCGTCAGAGTGGCGTACTCTATCCCCGTCCGAATCGGAGTCGTCGGAAGCTCCGTGTTCCGCCCCTTTTCGATTAATCGACACCAAAGCGAGCCAGTGAACGGGCTTCCACGCCGTCGCGCCCGCCTCAGTTCGCCCCGGCCCACCCGCGCCTGCCTGCGCCCGCCCAGGCCCTCCAGCATCTCGCTGCCTGCTGCTGCCGCCGGGTTGTCTCTCAGACTGTCAGATAAAGCGACAGGCCGGTCCGGCGGGGCGGCGAGCTCGGCCCCGGCCAGACATGGCGGCGCTCTACGCTTGCACCAAGTGCCACCAGCGCTTCCCCTTCGAGGCGCTGTCTCAGGGGCAGCAGCTGTGCAAGGTGCGCGGGCTGGGGCGGCGGCCGGGAATTGGGGACGCAGGAGGCGCGGCCCAGAACTCCTGGTTCTGCCGGGACGCCCGGCCCGGGTCCCTCGGATTGGGTGTGGCCCGCCTGCCTAGCCGAGGAGCCGTGCTCGCCCCATTGGGGGCGGCCGGGGCACGAGGGCTAGTCCCAGGCCGAGTCCGGGCCGCAGCGGCCGGCGTGCCCGGGTGCTTAGCAACCGCGGGGGCTTGTTCTCGGACCCAGCGAGATCCGGGGAAGAAACAGCGGGTCCTGCACACCCCAGACCCGGAGCGCAGAGGATCCGTTTGAGCTGCCTTCGTAGCAGCCGCGGTCGCCCGAGTTGCGGACTGAGGGACCCCCTGTGCAGCCTGGGACTGAACTGTCGGGTGTCTTGAGCTCTGATACCTCTTCATACCTCTTCGGCCTCACCGGCCAGTGTCAGAATCCGAGGTGGCAGGGCTTTACTAAAAAATAAAAAGCTCTTCCAACTAAGAACACAAATATCACGGATGACTTTTCAGCGTCCAGTTGGCGGCCGTCAGTCCTTTCTCTAATCTAACCAAGCTTTTACTCCTGAATTCCCACTTCTTTTTCCCTGAAGTTCCTTCATCCCACTTTGCCTATTTGAGTGGAGCTGATGTAAGAAGTTAAAACTCAGCAAGCCCGCCAAAAGAAAGTGATGTTTAGATAACATTCAGATAATCCAGTTTGCCTATGATTTAAGTAATCTTAGTTGTATGTGACTGTTCCTCATGTGGTCATGACTTTTCTTTTCAGCAGGTCTGAGAGCACCGTTTTACCACCGTTGTTTACCAAGTCCAGGAGAACAGAGGTGTTTAAGTATGCTTTCAGGACTTAAAAAAAAAAAAAAAGGGAAAAGAAAAATCTAGCACTTTATTTCACAAATAAACTTGCTCAAAAGCACACCAACAGAACCAGGACTAGATTTCCAGTCTGGGGCTTATTCCTATGTTTATTTTACAATTTATGACTAATTCCGTATAAATTCTTATTTAACTCCCACATCAACAGCTGGGCAGTGATGCAGGTATTACAGAGGAGGAAAATGAGTTCCAGAGAGTTAGTGACTCACTCAAGCATAGTGGCTGTGCTAGGGGTAGTATGCAAGTATTCTCCCTACTGAAGGCTGTTTCCATCTTTGAGGTGCCTTTTAAAATGATACCCTCATTTCATTTCAGGAATGTCGGATTGCACACCCTGTTGTGAAGTGCACCTACTGCAGGACTGAGTATCAGCAGGAGAGGTAGAGTTTTGGTTGGCTATGAAAGATGTTAATCTTTTAAGATCTGTGATTGCATTTCATGTAAGAAATCTGAAAACCGATTGCATTGTAACACAGACCTGTAGTCAATTACTTTATACACCGATTCTACACTTTTCTGTTACATCAAAGGTCATATAATACCCACATGATATCGTGAACATTGCCCATTGATTGCTTAAATTTATTTTTTCCAGTACTAAGGATTGAACCCAGAACTTTACACATGCGGGAATTTGTTCAGCCCTTGAGTTATATGCCCAATCGCAGTTGTTTGTTTGATTTGTGGTGCTAGCTAGATCAAACCCAGAGTGTTCATACTGAGCTACATCCTCAGCTTTTTTTTTTTTTTTTTTTAATTTTTTAAAAAATTTTATTTATTTATTTGTGTGTGTGTGGCCAGCTCAGCCCACCAGGGGGCGAAGCTGGCTGGCATGTGGTGCTGGGGTATTGATTTTTTTAAAAATTTTATTTATTTGTGTGTGTGTGGCCAGCTCAGTCCACCAGGGGGCGAAGCTGGCTGGCATGTGGTGCTGGGGTATTGAACCGCAGTCTGTGCTTTGCTAAGCTTGTTCTAAGTAGGTGCTTTAGACCACTGAGCCATCTCACCATGCCCGCAGCTCTTTTATTTTTTATTTTGAGACAGTCTTTTTAAATTGTCCACGCCAAACCTCAAAGTTGTGATTTTCTTGCCTCAGGCTCCCAGAGTATAGGCATTACAAACATGTATCACCAAACCTGGCTGCCAGCCTTTTTATTTTTGAGACAGATTTTTTTCTTAAATTGCTGGGGCTGGCCCTGGAACTTACAGTCTTCCTGCCTGTGTCTCCTGAGTAGCTGGGATTACAGGCATTTCTACCTTGCTCAGTTTGAATACTTATTATGTAAACTTTTTTTGCTTTTTAGTGTTGGGAACTGAATCCAGTAACTGGTGCATACTAAGCACCTGTTCTACCACTGAGCTATATTCCGCAGCCTCTGACTGCTTAATTTTTTTTTTTTTTTTCCTGTATTTAGGACAGGGTCTACAGGGTCTCACTCCATAGATCAGACTTGTAGTGATTCTCGTGTTTGCAGCCTCCCAAACACTGGGATTACAGGCGCCTGCCAAGATGCCCAGTCTCAATCACTGTCTCAAGCCCTGGCTGGCCGCTGTGCACTGCCTAAGCAGGTACTTTAGTCCAATGAGCTATCAGGTCAGCCTTGATTGCTTAAAATTTTAAAGCTACTAATTTTTCAAGTCCTTGATCATTTCATATAATGGATATGATTTTTTGGCACAAAAAACCCCCAATCCCACAGCAGTAATACGTGGATCTCATGCTCTAGTATTGGTATGTCCAGATCTTAAAGAAACTATAATGTCTAAAAGGTACTTTTTTTTGTGGTAGCGGGGATTGAACTTGGGACTTTGTGCATGTCAGGCAGGTGTTTATGCTGCTGAGCTGTCTCTCTGGCCTCTTTTTTGTCTTTTTGAGATAGGGTCTTGCTTTGCAATTCAGGCTGGCCTTAAGCTCACTTTGTAGCCCAGGCTGCTCTTGAACTCAAAACTATCCTCCTACCTGAGTCTTCTGAGTGCTGGGATTATAGGCATGCGCCAACACATATGGCCCAAAAAGGTACCTTTAGGAATGTGACAATCCTAAAAGGTTTGTTAGCCCTAGTCAAAATTGAAGATTTACTTGCCTTTATATTTTCTTTGTGTGTCATTTTTTTTT